TGGCTAGCATTTCCTTCTCAGTAGTTGCATACTTCATCTGCGCATCATTCAGAGTTTGGCTTGCATAGTAGATGACATGAGTTTTGCCATCTTTCTTCTGCCCCAAAACAGCCCCTACAGCGTAGTCACTAGCATCACACATTATCTCAAAAGGAAGGTCCCAATCTGGTGGTTGAACAATGGGAGCACTAATGAGCTCTCTCTTCAGCTTCTTAAAGGCTTCAAGGCATTCTGCATCAAAGGTAAAGGCAGCTTCTTTGCACAGTAGCTTGGTTAATGGTCTAGCAATCTGAGAGAAAGCCTTGATGAATCTTCTGTAGAACCCAGCATGACCAAGGAAACTCCTGATGTCTTTGACTGTCTTTGGAGGAGCCAAACTCACCATCACATCAATCTTAGCCTTGTCTACCTCAATCCCTTTCTCTGAAATCTTATGTCCAAGCACAATCCCTTCTTTAACCATGAAGTGACACTTCTCCCAGTTTAGCACCAGATTGGTGTCTTCACATCTCTGTAGGACCCTGCGCAAATTTGACAAACAAGCAGAAAACGAGGACCCATAGACAGAGAAGTCGTCCATAAACACCTCCACAACATCCTCAATTAAATCAGAGAAAATCGACATCATGCACCTTTGGAAGGTGGCTGGAGCATTACATAGCCCAAATGGCATCCTTCGATAAGCAAAGGTACCATAAGAGGGAAGATCACTCCTCTACTCCAGCACGTCGGTGTTAAGTTGGATTCTGATTGCAATGGTCCCACCTTCCTCGATGGAACTCATATGAAGATTGCTCAATTTTTCAGTGGAAGGTACGATGGAGATTGTGTATACACGTACAAGAAGTTGGGTAGAAATGTTGAGGTGATCCTCCCCAATAGGAACATTACAAGCTGGATTCTGGTGGCCACATATGTTCAAGGACACACAAGACTTTGTTTCAAGATGTGATTCATGCCAAAGAAGAGGGAACATTACCAAGAGGAATGAGATGCCTCAAAATCCCATCCTTGAAGTTGAAGTGTTTGATGTGTGGGGTATTGACTTCATGGGACCTTTCCCATCCTCTTATGGGAACAAGTACATNAAGGGTTGTGATCAGTGATGGAGGCACTCACTTCATCAACAAGTTACTAGAAACACTTCTCAAGAAGAATGGTGTGAAGCATAAAGTGGCAACTCCTTACCATCCCCAGACTAGTGGCCAAGTTGAGGTTTCCAACAGAGAAATCAAGTCTATTTTGGAGAAGATTGTGGGAGTTACAAGAAAGGATTGGTCTAATAAGTTTGATGACGCACTTTGGGCTTATAGGACAGCTTACAAGACTCCTTTGGATACCACACCTTTCAATCTTGTGTATGGGAAGGCTTGTCACTTGCCAGTAGAGCTTGAATACAAGTCATTATGGGCAGTTAAGTTGCTGAACTATGACATCAAGAGTGCTAAGGAGAAGAGACTTCTCCAACTACAAGGAGCTGTCTTGTGATTTCTTATCCTCATTGGTGGTAACTTATCATGAGTCTCAGCATGTGAGGCAAGGATGGGGGAAGATAACGTTCAAGGTTAAGGGAAGAGCTCACAACGTTACCTTCAAGGATATTGGGCGGTTATACGGATTTACAGATGCTCAATACTACCATCTTCCCAGGCTTACTAACATCTCCAGAGACAGCAACATTCCAGCGAGGGTTTGGAGAGCCATCACCGGAACACCTCACGTCACGGGGAAAGACAAGAACTCAGGCATCGGAAACCCAGCGATACGATACTTTCACAGGATGCTGGTGCACGCATTCTTCCCCCGTAAGGAGCCCGGCTCAGTAACTGAAGAGGAACTGCGACTTCTTTGTCTAGCTCTGGCACGCTTTGCAGCATGTTTCTTCTTCTCTTTCTGATTGTTATTTAAATATTTTACATTAGCAAATTTGAACTTTATGTTTTTATTCTCTATGTATTTATGTCGTGTATACAAATATATATTTATATGTGTCTTTCACTCTTCTGTCTCTAGTTTTCTAGCTGTTTTTATTTGATGTATCATATATCTTCTATAATTTCAGATTAAGAAGATGAACTCTCAAACTGATTCATCAAGTGAAAAAGAAGAACCTCCACTATGGAATTATGTTACTAAATTGGAGAATTTAGGAGCAACAGGAGGAACTTGGAAATTCAAGTGCAGTTTTTGCAATGAGATTCGACAAGGATCATATTCTAGAATCAAAGCACATTTACTTGGAGTGAAAGGGAAAGGGATTTCTCTTTGTGCAAGAGCAACAATGGCTGAAAAGATTGAAATGAAGAAGCTGGAAAATGAATTTGAGTTGAAGAAATCTGAGTCGGGATCTAGAGAAGTTCTATTGGCGTGTGAGTCTCTTTCTAAAAAAAGAAAATCTTGCTTTTCACCAATTGTCGCAGCATTTGGTATTCAAGCTAGAGATCAGTTGGATCAAGAAATTTCAAGGATGTTTTACACATGAGGTCTGCCATTCAATCTTGCAAGAAATCCTAGCTATCAACGGTCTTATCAATTTGCTGCTGCCAACAAAATTGATGGCTATGTACCTCCAAGTTATAATAGACTCCGGACGACTTTATTGCAGCAAGAAAAGAACAATGTCGAGAAGTTGTTAGTGCCACTAAAATCAACATGGAAGGAAATAGGGGTGACGATTGTGAGTGATGGTTGGAGTGATCCTGTAAGAAAACCTCTTATTAATTTTATAGCTATTTCTGGAAGTGCTCCTATGTTTCTTAAGGCTGAGAATTGTTTCGGTGAAGTGAAAGACAAAGTCTTCATTGCTAAATTGTTGGAAGAAGTTATTCATCAAGTGGGTGATCAGAATGTTGTGCAAGTAATCACTGATAATGCACCAAACTGTAAGGCTGCTGGAGACCTTATCGAGGGCAGGTTTCCACACATCTATTTGACACCATGTGTTGTTCATACTCTCAATCTAGCTTTGAAGAATATATGTTCAGCAAAGAATGTGGAAAGGAATCAAGAAACATATGAGGAGTGTAATTGGATTACTGAAATTCATGGAGATGCTCTTGCAATAAAAAACTTCATCATGAACCATGGCATGAGACTCGCTATTTTTGGTAAGTTCTATCCGCTGAGATTACTTCAAGTTGCTGATACACGTTTTGCCTCAGTCATTGTGATGCTTAGGAGATTGAAGCTTATCAGAAGGGGTCTTCAAGCCATGGTTATAAGTGATGAATGGTCTACTTATAGGGATGATGATGTTGGGAAAGCAAACTTTGTTAAAAAAAAAGATTGTGGATTATGACTGGTGGGAAAAGGTGTCTTATATTATTGATTTCACAAGATCTACATATGAGATGATTAGGTTTTGTGACACCGACAAGCCATGTCTTCACTTGGTATATGAGATGTGGGATTCTATGATTGAAAAGGTGAAGGCTGAGATTTACAAGAGAGAAAAGCGTCCAATGTCTGAATTCAGTCCCTTCTACAATGTTGTTTATAAAATTTTGGTGGCTCGCTGGACAAAATGTAACACTCCTTTACATTGTCTAGCTCATGTAGTGAATCCAAGGTATGATTTATCATTTCATTTTTTCATGTCATATGTATGTTTATACACATGTTTTTTTTGTAGATTTTATAGTGATGATTGGCTAAATGAAGATTTGGGAAGAGATGGTCCACATAGAGATGCAGAAATCTCACGTGAAAGGATAAAGTGCTTTCGAAGATTATTTCCAAGCGATGATGATCATAGGAAAGTTATGGAGGAGTATGCCTTATTCTCGATGAAGAATGGTCCTTTTGAAGATTTAACATGCATTTCAATGATGTCTACTATGGAACCCAAAAGTTGGTGGGCTAACTTTGGTGCTCAAACTCCTTTACTCCAAGCTTTGGCTTTTAAATTACTTGGACAGCCTAGTTCATCTTCGTGTGCTGAGCGTAATTGGAGCACTTACGCATTTATTCATTCACTAAGAAGGAATAGGTTAACTCATAGTCGTGCTCAAGACTTGGTTTTCATCCACAACAACTTACGACTTCTTTCAAGAAATTCTGACCAATATGAAGCTGTAAAGACCAAGATGTGGGATGTTGGTGGAGATGGATTTGATTCTATAGAAGATGTGGGATTCTTGGAGTTTGCTGACCTCTCTCTTGATGAACCAGACTTTGAAAATGAGCTATTGAATGATTAGCATATTTGTTTTTTTCTGATATTTTGAATAAGTGTATGTTTTAATGTTTAAACTTATGTTTCGGATTTTAATATATTGACTATGGATATTTATGCTTTTTATATTTTGGTTCCTGATTTCCTGAAACATTAATCTGGATATACATATATATGTTTAACTTGTGGCATATATATATATATATTGCTGTATCTATACCTTACTTGTATCTAAGATTTTTTATTTTGCCGTTTCCCGTCCCCGTTTCCAGTTCCCGTACCCGTACTTGTGCTGCTTAGAGATGAAGACAAGTAAACCCTCCTCTACCCCCTAATGGCTGGCTTTTGATAAGAGAGTGACTACTCTTTTGAATTAGTAAAAAAGGTGACGTTTTTGGTTGGTTATGACTTGTTCACAGGTTTTGTACTGTGTACAAGTCGTCCTTTTAACAGTTGTAACTCTCATCCATGGTAGTTTCTATATATTATTTTCAAGTTTAGTAGTAGAAGAGGAGAGAGCCTATTGTTTGTAAACGTGCCGTTTGACTTATCTATCAACAGGTTTAAATGTATTAATTACTTAGTATCAAATGACAAATTGACACGTCAAACTTATCAAGAAAACGTACGCCACGTCAACTCACTCACTCGCTACGTTGAGCGCGTGTTTATCACTCCCCAACCTGATCGGAAACGTCTTACCAAAGATCAGTTCTCAGGTCAATTAATCTCTCTCTCACCAACGACGACGAAACCTCTTCTCTTCTCTCTCACTATGGATCTTCAGCCGGAGAACGATCACGTCCCATCTCCACCGTTAATCTCCGACCGAGTTCTAATAAACGGCGTCGTCACGCCGTTAACTCTAACCGCCGACGGAGAGCTACACTGGACGGAATCCTGTCGGCGGAAATCGACGACGGAGAAAGAGATCCTGAGCTTCGTCGTGGAAGGCAACAAGGTTAGAGTGAAGACGTTGGTGGAGAGAAGAGGATCAATCTGCTGTGGAGGAAGTGGTGGAGATTACGCGAGGAAGGATTTCGTGTTCGAGCCGCTCTATGATGAATCTAGAAAGCTTTGGTGCGATGAGCTTCGTCAACAGCTTCAATCTCTCGGTTAGTTGTTTTAATTAAATCGAAAAGCTTTTAAACGACATCGTTTTGGGAAGCTGAGTTGGTGAATGGTTTGTTAGGTCGGCCAAGGAGGTTACTTGTGTTTGTGAATCCTTTTGGTGGGAAGAAGACGGCTAGGAAGATATTTTTGGAGGAAGTGAAGCCGTTGTTTGATGATGCTGATGTTCAACTTGACATTCTAGGTTTCTTGCTTTCTATTTTTCTTTTTCTTTTTTTTTTTGTTTCTGAGCTCTTTCTCCAGGGAAGTAAAAATCTGATTGGTGATATTTTTCAGAAACTAAGTATCAGTTGCATGCAAAGGAGATGGTTAAGTCCATGGATTTGTCAAAATACGACGGTATTGTTTGCGTTAGCGGAGACGGTGTCCTTGTAGAGGTAACGTTTGAAGCTTTTCTGTTGTTTTCACTATCTCCATTTTGATAAGTTATATCCTGGAAGTTGTGATGATGCGTGTCTCTTTTGCTATTATCTCACATGAGCAAAGAATTAGTGTCTTTAACGATCTTTATGGGGAAAGCGTATTACTTCTCTTGGAGGAAGCAATCTCTTGCTTTTGATTATGTGCTGATTCCTACAATTGGTTACTAATTTAGTAGGTTGTAAATGGACTGCTCGAAAGAGCAGATTGGAGAACTGCCTTGAAGCTACCTATTGGCATGGTCCCTGCAGGTTCGTTCTGCTTTTATCATCCTTGTCTCTTGTGTGTTCCATGTGAAGTTTAGATGTAACAGTTATACTTGTGCATGAGAAGCTTTTAGCAAAATAATATACTTTGTGGTTACTTTATGTGTACTATAATTCTTGATGGCAGGAAGTGGAAATGGCATGATAAAATCATTGCTGGACCCGGTTGGGCTGTCTTGTAGTGCAACAAGTGCCACTGTTACCATTATACGAGGTCTTTCTTTGTGCCATTAAAACCTTTTCTTTTTCCGTGTGAATCAGCTTATTGTTAAAATATATTTTGTATTGGTAGGTCATAGACGTTCTTTAGATGTGGCAACTATCTCACAAGGGACTACCAAATTCTTCAGCGTCTTGATGCTTGCTTGGGGTATGAAAGTGACGTCAGAAATGTATCTGCATAGGAAACTAGTGCCTGAACTTGGTGAATACTGTTGGATGTATTGAGACAATTTCATTTTTTCAGGATTAGTGGCTGATATAGACATCGAGTCAGAAAAGTTCAGATGGATGGGAAGTGCTCGGTTTGATGTCTATGTACGGTTTGCTGAAACTTTTTGACAATCTTTTGTACTGAAGTGTCTTAAAGTGTGCGTCTAGTGTATTCAGATCTACCCATTAAGTTTCTTATTCAACTAATGGGACATTGTGTTGTCTCTTCTACGGCTTGTACTTGCAGGGTCTTCAGAGGATAATATGCTTGAGACAGTACAATGGACGAATTCTATTTGTGCCGGCTCCTGGGTTTGAAAGCTATGGGAAACCAGCCAGTTACCATGTAGACACGGAGTCATCTGTTAGTGATAAGACACAAGGATACCAAGGACCTGATACTAATCTTGAAGACATGGAATGGAGAGAAATCAAAGGCCCATTTGTTTCAGTATGGCTTCATAATGTTCCCTGGGGTGCTGAGAACACTTTGGCTGCTCCCAACGCAAAGGTCAGTTACAAACACTTTCTTTTCCATGGTGCACAAGCAAGAAGCCTTCATAAGACGCTAACACTTTGTATGTATATGGTCTAATGAACAGTTTTCTGATGGCTTCCTGGATTTGATTGTGATGAAAGACTGCCCCAAGCTTGCATTGTTATCACTTATGACAAAGTTGAGTGATGGGACACATGTTCACTCACCATATGCATCGTACCTAAAGGTGTGTCATCCGAACCCAAGAAGTTCATATAGTTTTAACCTTTCATTTGATGTTTTTAACGAAAAAAAATGTTGATGCGGTGATTTTAACTGTGGAAAAGGTGAAGGCATTCGTACTGGAGCCGGGTGCACGGATAGACGAAGAAGACAAGGAAGGAATCATAGATTCAGACGGAGAGGTGTTGGCAAGGGGAAGAAAATCATATAAATGTGAGGAAAAGGCATTGATGTCTTATGACAAGCTTCAAATAACAGTTGATCAAGGTTTAGCAACTCTCTTTTCTCCTGAATAGTTTCTGATTGACAAAATGTCTTATTACATGAGATGAGATGAAGACACATGTTGTTCCGCTGTGATGATAATTTGATTGTTGGGAGTCGGGACATGTACAGTAGAGTACATCAAGTAAGAAGCAAAAAAGATGATGTTTTCTTAATGAGCTTTGTACCATTGAGGTGTAAGATTGTGTGTTTTGGACAATATGTTGAAAGGTATCAGGCAAATATCAACTCATGACTTTGTAGACTAACAATACTATTAAAACATGATCATTTTTTTAAATGAATGATTTATGTTTTCCTAAATTATTTTTAATTTTATAAATAAATTTAATTTATCATTAATAATATTTTAATCCTTTTTATTTGGATTTGAAAATTATATACTAATGAATTTCATTAATGTATTGATTCTCTTGTAAATTTTATAAAAAAAATTCTTGCAAAAATATATTTTCTTTGCAGGTCAGGCAGGTTAAATTTTTGAGTAAAAAAAATGACTAAACCCGCTACAGAGTGGGTCGGACTGAGCGATTGAAATTTTGTAACTAAATGATTTTACGAATTAATCACAAAACTAAAAAAAATGGACCATTTAATTGTTAAATATACAATCTTTCTCAAGTACACATTTCAGGTACAACCATTGTTAACTTATTATAAAAAAATTGTCAGAGACATGATAAAATAAAAATTTCTTGATACTCGCATAATAGCTCGATCTTGATTTTGTGAAATTTTATATCATTAAAACAAAAGATTTATCGATCCATCTGTAGATAAAACAACAAAAATAGTATTCGCGTTGAAAAAGTTCATTTTCTTGAACTTATATTTTTCATGATAACTTATATTTTTCATATATAAATATATTTTGATGAAACAATACTCAAATTTATCTCATACGTCGAAATCCAATATTTTTTTTGACAACAATGAGGATTTTTTCATCAAAATTTATTATATGTCAAAATCCAATAAATTAGGAATTTTCATGCGGCATTTGCATATATAATCTTTTAAATATAACTTCATTTTATTTTAAAATGTATAGTTCTCAAATTTACTATTATTTTTATATTTTAATTTAACCAGTTTGGAAATAAAACTATAAATTATATGTTACCTTATTTCTTTCTATTTGGGTTAACTATTTAATTTGATTTTATTTAAATTTGAATAGAATTACGATATATATATATATATGAATAAACATTTATATTCTATTCTGTTTAATGACTATTTATTTTACATATGTCTATTCTACCTTAGTTTTAGATAGTCTGTATTTAAATATATAACTTTAATATATTTAAGATTTAAGGTTTTTTGTTAGTTAAAATATATTAAAACGGCAAAAATCAAATTTGAATAATCTACTAACCGATATATTTAACTAAACTTTCAACTATTTAAGTACCAAAAAATTATTTGATTAGTATTTTTTCAGTTTTGTATATGTTAATGCACACTTACAAATATAAAAATCTGATACGTTTGATAGTATTGCATTTTATGATATATATATATATATACATTGATGTAGAATTGTTTTATAATTATATTTAATTTATTTTCATTAATATATATATATATATATAATTTACTTTAGTGGTGATATATGAAAATATTTATTTTATTTTCATTAATATGATATATATATATATAATTTACTTTAGTGGTGTATATGAACTATTAGTTGTTTTTATATTTCAAAACTTGCCAAAATTTTATATTTGTAAAAGAAAATTATTTTAGTGGTGATATATAATTTATTAGTCACTACCATATTTAAAAAATTTGTAACAAATATGAACAGTTATAGATGTTGAATTAGATGATGTGATGTCCTATTTTTAAAAGGCATGTTATCTTCTTTTTTTTTTGAAAATAAATATAATAATGATACAGAAGCCACTTCCCAAAAAAATTTATATGAAGATTATATTTTAAATTTGTTTTATTTCCTAGTAAGTCATAGCATATTCATTGCATATCAACATTATGAATGTTTGAAAAAAATTGTCTTCTGTAACTTAGCTTAGTTATTGTAAACTTGATGTTTTCTTCCGAGCATGCAAATGTGAGTATACTCACTTTTATATATCTATTAATATATTCATTAGAAACTCTAATATTATGATAAGTTATTATTTATACTTTCAAAAATTTAAATCTAATATAAAATTATTTATATATGATAAAAAATCATAAAATTATATATACTGGTTATACTGATTGCGATAATGATTAATATTATACATATGTGTATTTTTTTACTAAGGGTATTAACTATTTTAACAGTTTCCAACATTTAACATAAGGATTCAGAAATAAAAAATCGATTCACAAATAGTAATGTAGATTAAGAGTATTAACGATTTTAACCATTCTAACGTTTTAAATGTAAGAGAAAAGAGATAAAAAAAATCAATACACAAATGATAATATATATATATTGTTTGGTAGTTCCTTATGAGATCGTTGCGAATGAAATTTTCTTAAACATTGTTTTTCGTTTTCCCCGATGGTTTTTTTCCTGAGAGAGTTATAGTATTCACTTAGTAAAGACACTATAAGAAAAATAAGAAGTTATTAGAAAATTTTACTAGGAAAATAATTCTTCATAAATTTACTACGAACTTGCTACGGTTTTACGAGGAAAAGTTGTTTCCTCGTAAGGTCCTCGTACAGCTACGAGAAACAGTTTTTCTCGTAACACCGTAGTAAGCTTACGAGGAAACTACGTGGCAAAAGTCCATATCTTCGTAAGCTCATAGTAACAAACTTTCCTCGTAAAGTCCTAATAAAACCTTACTACGAAATTAGGAGGAATGAATTTGTTACTACGAAATTAGAAGGAACTGGATAGAAAATACCAAATTTAAATCAAAAATGTGTTTTGTACCTACATTTCCTATCAATTTTCTAGTAAATGCTTAGATTCGAAAATTTCTATAAATACCACAATTTGTGATTCATTTGAAACACACCAAAAAAATCAGCTATAAGCTTGATCAAACACAAAAAAATGGATGTGGATGGGAGGGTGACGAAAGAATTTCTCGAAGGGTTGGAGACGTTTATGCATCAAGCAGATTCTACACCACTCACGTAGGAAAGTGGTAAGATGTTCTGTCCTTGTCGGAAATGCTGCAATACAAAATTAGGCCCTCGTGAAAATGTTTGGAAGCATTTAATAAATAGAAGTTTCATGCCATATTATTATATTTGGTATCAACATGGAGAAGATGATGCTAGTTGTAGGAATGAATGTAGCAGTAGTAATAGCAATTTTCAGGTTGAACCGGTTGATCATTTGCGTAATGAAAATAGCTATCACCATCAAGAGGAACAAATGGTAGATTGTGATAGGGTTCCTGATATGGTAGGTGATGCATTTGTAACTCATGATGATGATGAAGTTGAAGAACCTAACTTAGATGCAAAAAAGTTTTATGAAATGTTAGAAGCTGCTAATGAGCCAATTTACAGTGGTTGTAGAGAATGTCTATCTAAATTGTCGTTGGTTGCTAGAATGATGAGTATTAAAACTGATCACAATCTACCTGAAAATTGTATGGATGCATGTGCATACTTGTTTAAAGAGTATTTGCCAGAAGACAATGTGTCTGCTGAATCTTATTATCAGATTCAGAAATTGGTATATAGTCTTGGGTTGCCCTCGGAGATGATAGACGTTTGCATCGACAAATGCATGATTTACTGGGGAGATGATGAGAAGTTAGAAGAATGTCGATTTTGTAAGAAGTCACGATTCAAACCGCAAGGAAGAGGGCGTAATAGGGTACCGTACCAAAGGATGTGGTACCTACCAATCACAGACAGATTGAAAAGATTGTACCAATCTGAGGAGACTGCTGGAGGGAAGAGATGGCACTCCGAGCATAGTCAGACGGATGGAGAGATGACTCATCCATCAGATGCAAGAGTCTGGAAACATTTTAACAATGTACATCCACATTTCGCTAGCAATAGCCGAAATGTGTATCTTGGATTATGCACTGATGGATTTAGTCCATTTGGAATGTCTGGGAGACAATATTCATTGTGGCAGGTCTTTCTTACACCGTATAACCTGCCACCGGAGATGTGCATGCGACGAGAGTTTCTATTCATGACCATATTAATACCTGGTCCAAAACATCCAAAAATATCTCTCGACGTTTTTCTACAACCATTGATAAAAGAGTTGAAAGATTTGTGGTCAACAGGGATGAGGACATATGATTGTTCAACGAAAAAAAAACTTTACAATGCGAGGGATGCTTTTGTGGACCATAAGTGACTTTCCTGCATATGGGATGTTGTCTGGGTGGACTACACATGGGAGATTAGCTTGTCCATATTGTAATGGAATGACAGATGCGTTTCAGTTGAAGCATGGTAGGAAGACTAGTTGGTTCGATTGTCACCGTCGATTTCTTCCCATTTACCACCCATACCGAAGAAACAAGAAATTGTTCGGCACAAAAGGGTTGTCAGAGACACTCCTCCTCCATATTTAACTGGAGAACAAATCGAAGCGCAAATCGATTACTACTGTGCTCTAGAAACATCTCCTCGTGGTGGGAATTGGCATGTTCCCAGTAATATGTCTGATGCTTATGGTGTTCAGCACAATTGGCACAAAAAGATTATATTTTGGGAATTGCCATATTGGAAAGATCTTCTTTTGCGCCACAACCTCGATGTGATGCATATAGAGAAGAACTTTTTTGAGAACATTGTGAACACTATATTGAATATCACAGGGAAGACGAAAGACAACGTAAAATCAAGGTTGGACTTACCCGATATCTGCGCAAAGAGTGAGCAACATATAAAAAGCAATGGGCAAGTTCTAGTTCCAATATTTAGACTGTCATTAGAAAAAAAGTCTGCGTTGTTCAACTGGGTGGCTTCAGAAGTGAAGTTCCCTGATGGGTATGTTTCAAATCTCTCAAGATGTGTTGAGAAAGGGCAAAAGTTCTCCGGGATGAAGAGCCATGATTGTCATGTCTTTATGCAGCGACTACTTCCCTTTGCGTTTGCGGAGCTACTACTGGCAAAAGTACATGAAGCACTTTCACGTAATTAATTAATATAATACGATGATATGATTAATTTATTTCTATATATATATATACTAATGTGGATAATTTTTCTTTTTGTAATATATAAGGAATTGGAGCATTTTTTAGGGATCTGAACACCCGCACTCTTAAAGTGGAAGTTGTCCAACAACTTCATGAAAAGATCCCCGTCTTAATCTGCAACTTGGAGAAAATATTTCCGCCTACTTTTT